TCACGATGAATGTGTTTTTCGACGCCAACTACGTCGAGTCGGACGCCGCCAAGATCCGGTATGCGGTTTCACTACTCAGGGGCCCCGCCATGGACTGGTGGCGAGTCATCGTGACGTCGCCACGCGCCTACGAGCCACCGTCGCACGAGGAAGGGCCCTCGGGTCCAGCTGTTACCTGGAGTTCGTTCTGCGAAACCGCCCAATACAGCACGTGGAATGCGTGGTGCGCAGGGCTTCGGGCGCGCTTTGAGCCGATCGCGGCTTCGATTTCGGCGCGTCAGAAACTGCGCACTTGGCGCCAGGTCGGGTCAGTTCAAGACTACACCAGCGGTTTTCTCGCACTTTGCGAGCAGGTCGGCTACATGCACGAAGCGGAGCGGGTGGACCGTTACGTCGGAGGGCTGAAGCCGGATATCTCGCACGAGATAATGCTACGCGGGCTCTCGAATTTCAACGAGATCCTCGCGCTCGCCGAGAAAATCGATATCCTACGCCGACCGAGACCGGGGTCCTATTACGGACATCGTCCTCGGGGACCGATCGAGCACGCCACTGTACATGCCGTCGCAACGAATGCAGCTGCCACACCGTTTAGAGGGCGCTGCTTTGCTTGCAACCGGCCGGGCCATCGCAAGAGCGAATGCCCAGAGGAGCTGAGGCGTCGAGGAGCAGAGCAGGGGAGGGAGTCTCAGAGGCAGGGAAACGCCAGCAGTCAGTAGAAGTTGGGCCAACTACTGACGAGACTGCCTGCTCGCCCAACCGCACCGACCCTCACCGAGTCACAGTACCGATTCACTGACAAATGTTAGAAGAAGAAAGAGGATTGAACTAGCAGGAATGAGGATACAAATAGCAAAACCCTAGAAGGGTTGTACTCGCTATAGAGCACCCCACTACAGGCTAGAACATAAGATAATATTCTGACATTCACGCCATCGATCGGGCTCGGATGAATAAGGAGGGTACAGCGACGGATTGCCCGGTACTGATCTACGGGAAAATACAGGGAGCAGCAGTGAAGATCTTTATTGACGGAGGAGCAAGTCACAGTTTAGTTAATACCGCAACCGCACGGAAATTACAGTTAACACTTAACCGATGCTTACCTGAGATAGATGCACGCTTAGTCGACGGCACGCTCCTGGCCATACGGGAAAAGGTGGAGCGAGTAAAAGTCCGCTGCGGGGGGAACTTCGGGTTTACACAGGAAATGCTCGCAACGACACTGGATGGGCACGACATTTTATTGGGACGTGATTGGCTGCGACGGTACAACCCACGGATTGACTGGACGACGGGGAGCTGCACAGTGCGAAGTAGTGGTAACTGGGTCGTTCTACCTCGCTGGCAGCCACCCGCATCTTCGACGGTCCAGGTCAACGCCATCACGATGAAACGGGTTGTCGCTGCTGGAGCTGACGTGTACGCAGTGGATATCGCGCTAATAGAAAAAGAGGAGCAGCCGAGTGATTTAGAGAAACTATTGGCAGCCGTACCGACCGAGCTACAAGCACTACTGAAACGGTTCCCGGGGATATTTCCGGATGACTTACCACAGGGACTGCCACCTCAGCGGGCGCACGACCATAGGATCGAGTTAGAACCAGGGGCACAGCCAACTGTACAGCGACAATTTCGACTGACATAGCCCGAGCTCGACGAGTTAAGGAAGCAGTTAGATTACCTGTTAGAGAAGCAGTTTATCCGACCGAGCTCGTCACCGTTCGCCGCACCGATACTGTTCACACCGAAAAAAGACGGAGGGTTCCGCATGTGCATCGACTACCGAGCGCTTAACAGGGTAACAGTCAAATCGCGATACCCCATCCCCCGCGCCGACGAACTGATCGACCAACTGCGAACAGCACGAGTCTTTTCGAAAATAGATTTACGGGGAGGTTACCATCAGATTCGGGTCGAACCATCGGACTGTGCCAAGACAGCTTTTAGGACTAGATACGGGTCATTCGAGTACACAGTGATGCCTTTCGGGTTGACCAACGCGCCTGCAACATTTCAGATGACCATGAACGAGGCGTTTAGACCACTTTTAGATAAATGCGTGATAGTTTACCTGGACGATATTTTAGTTTACAGCCGGGATAAGCAGCAGCACTTAGTAGATCTTGAAGCAGTTTTTAAGGTTTTATAAGAACATCGGTTACTCACCAAGGGCTCCAAGTGCGAGTTTTTTCGGGATAGGCTAGAGTTTTTGGGTCACGTCATTTCGGAGGCTGGGGTTGAGATTGACCCAAAGAAGCTGGATACAGTAAAAGCGTGGCGCCCCCCGACGAATATCACGGAACTGCAGAGTTTTTTAGGTTTTGTCAATTACGTTCGACGGTTCGTGCCCGACATGACACGTTTAACAGCCCCACTCACTAATTTACTGCGTAAGGGGGTCGCTTTTACGTGGGGGTAGAAAGAGCATGCTGCCTTCTCTGCCCTGAAAAATGTTCTCTCTTCACCACCCGTTCTACGCATCGCTGATCCACACCGCCCCTTCGAAGTGGTTACAGACGCGAGTGACATCGCCATCGGAGCTGTACTGTTACAGGACTTCGGCAACGGCCTCCAACCCATCGCCTACGAATCACGCAAACTCCATCCGCCTGAGCGAAATTACCCGATACACGACCGCGAAATGCTTGCGATCGTGCACGCATTCAAAGTGTGGCGCTGCTACTTGACCGGCGCAGACGTGACAGTACGGACAGACCACCGATCTCTACAGTACCTCCGCGCACAGCCCCACCTCAACCCACGACAGATTCGATGGCTCGATTTCCTCGAGTCGAACTTTCACTATACGGTCACATACAAAAAAGGAGCCTCGAATATCGCCGACGCACTGACCCGCCCCACTGCCCAGATCCATGCGATACTACTCGCCCAGACCAGCCCGCTACTTACAGGACTATTTACCCACGGATATCAAACAGACCCATTCTTCACAGGAGGCAACTCACAGCAATTCGCAGCGGCAAAAGGAGTCTATTACGTAAAAGCTGGAACCGACCGCATCTGGGTACCACGATACACGCTACTGCGGGAACTACTGTTACAGGAAGCACACGACGGAGTTACCTCGGGACATTTCAGGGTAGAAAAAACACGGCAGCAGCTGCAGCGGTACTACTACTGGCCAGAAATGTTGACCGATGTGCAACGACACGTGGCATCATGTCCCACTTGCCAGCTCATGAAGTCAAACAGGAAGCGGCCGGCGGGACAATTATAACCCATCCCGCCTCCAGAGCGTGCTTGGCAGCAGGTGACGATGGACTTCGTCACGGGGTAACCAGCTGGGGCGAGTGGGAATGACGCGATACTGGTCGTCGTCGATCGACTAACGAAGATGGCAAATTTCGCAGCATGCAGGAAATCAATCACAGCCGAAGAAACCGCCCGACTCTTCATCACCACCGTCGTTCGACTGCACGGGATACCCGCGTCGATCATCAGCGACAGGGACACGAAATTTACAAGCAACTTCTGGCGGAACCTGTGGCAGCAGTTCGGCACGCGCTTACAATTCAGTTCATCCTATCACCCCGAAACCGACGGACAGATGGAACGGACCAATCAGACCATGGAGCAGCTGATTCGAGCCACGTGCGACGATCCGAATACATGGGAACAGCAGTTGCCCCTCATCGAGTTCGCCTACAATAACGCGCCATCAGCCACGACACAACAGTCGCCGTTTTACTTGAATTACGGACAGGACCCAACAGTACCCATGACACCGAATCCCGACAACCCCGTCCCACGAGCACAACAGTTCGCCGAGATTCTGCAAGCAGCACGGACCAGGGCAGCAGAAGCAATAAAAAAATCAAACATCATCGCTAAACGCAACGCCGATCGCCACCGCAGACCCGTCACTTACCAGCCCGACGACCTTGTTTTACTCGACACTCAGAACCTCCGCCTGCCCATCACTCCCAAACTCCGCCCTCGATACTGTGGGCCATTTCGAATCAGTCACATGATCACGCCTGTCACCGCGCACCTCCTCCTTCCTGCTGACTGGTACGTCAGCCCCTCGTTCCACGTCAGCCTGCTTCGCCCTTACGTACCATCCACCAGTCAACTCCCACGCCATCGACCCTCCAACATGACACGACTACCAACCGAACCAGTCATCACCCCCGATAAGATCCTGAGCCACAGAGTTCGTGACCCTCGAGGAGCCCGAAAAGTGGAGTTTCTGATCCGCTGGAAAGATCGTACCCCCACCGAGGACAACTGGGTTCCCCTGGACAAAGTCGAAAACCACCCTGTCGTCACGGACTATCTGCGCAGCCGAAACTTCAGAGACGTCCATGCGCTTTCGTAAGGAGGACCTCCTTAGGAGGGGGGGTAGTGTAAGGAAATTCCCTTTTCCTTACTTCGCGTCCCTGCTCAACGCGTACATCACTGTAGCACCTCAGTCAGCACCGTTACCACTCGCGACCATCGCATCATTCATCATCCCGCCATTTTCGCACATCGCATCCCGACCTCACGGCTCGGCTGGTAACCCGCGCTCCGGGCCTACGCTTCGACACTTTCCCAACCTCAGTCCCAGGCTCGTCGCGCGACCATTACCGTTACCACTGTAGTTTCGCTATATATTGTTCGCTCATGCCTTCGCTCATTGTACTCTTGCTTCGATAGTGCAATTCTCGTTCGTTCACTCAATTGCACTCGTAACATATTTCGTTATAAAACTGTGTTCAGTTCCCAGTAGTGAAGCATCTCTAAGTTAAATCCCAATAGTTATTACTGTGTGTTAGTCTGAGGAAGTTGTCTCCTGGAATATCCACGTGGTAGTATGATTTCACTTCCAGGCTGGTGGATTTCAAGAAGTCAGGTAAGATTCAGTTGCAAGACCACCAGATATGACAGCTGCTATGAACACAGGTTCATTAGCACCATGACTGAAACGATCACCCACTGCCATCAGTTAGATAGTTGATCTCATTATTTACTTTCGTGCTGGTGCTAGCTCCATGTTATTGGGGTTTCACCATGTACATACCCTTCTTCTTGTCCACCATCCTGACAAAAGCACAAACAAAAGCACGATGGGCATGGAAAGAGTCAGCTCACTGTGTAAGCTGAAGTTGGCAAGCTTGACACATTGACAGGCCGCTCAAACTACTATGGCTTGACAATAGAGCTTCACTTACAGTTTTCCCATGGCAAAGAGGTGTCGGCCTGCCTCATTGCAGACTGTGCCATCAGCATCCAGAGTGTACCGAGCACCAGGAGTGTCCGGAAAGCCCCTCTTCATCAAAGTAACAAGGTCCTTCTTGTGCAGCTCTCTCCCATTCACAAACACCTTAGTCTTGCCTCCGGAACAGTCACTCTGCATCGGCTGCATGCCGAACTCCCTCATAAAAGCCTGTTGGGAAACAAGCAGGCAGGAGGGAGAAACGGGGCTATATTTGGGCAGCGCGGCGAAAACAACTCGGCACAGTAGCCCACAATGAGGTAGTAACATTTTGCTGCTGCTATAACATTTTTTCAACCACCCACTTTCAGGCCCTTACCTCTCCACACGCAGACCCTCAGATTCGAAGCTTTTTACGTTGATTCAACCTTTGATCAGCCTTGTTTTTTCTACCAGGGTTGATTTATCAGCCTAATTTCAGGTGAATTTGCAGTTTTGGCTTACTTTCACCTATAACTTGCCTGCGACTCTCATTTGCCTGTTCCAAAGAGCAACTCACCGGAGTAACTCCGAATGCTGGCCCTCCCACAGGGCCCCAAAATCCAGCTCGGCAGTCATACCTGGAACATGAGATGACAAGAAAAACAAAAGGTGGAGGGAAACAAGATCGGGTGAAAAGAATGAGCAATGCACGAACACACGTCACTCCTCCATTAGGCACGCAAACAGCAAAACCACAAGAAGCATGCACAACAGACGCCCATCCTGTTTTAAAGACAGCAGTGCACAACATACCAGTAGCTGCCTGGCTCAATCGTTCCAATCCGCCTCTCAGCCAGGAACACAAGCTTGTCAGGCACGGGCTGCCCGTTCATATACACCTTGCGACGGTACTGCCCCTCGCCGCCCAGCGTGGAGCTTCTCGGCGCCACCGTCATCGCATCTGCCCGCCCGGGCGGCCCACTGTACTCCGTGGCAGTGCGCCTGAAGGGCAGGTCCGCAGGCGCTCCCATTCCCGCACCCCCGTGCTGCTGCTGCTGCTGCATCTGATGTTCGTTGAGAGACCCGCTTCTAAAGCCGATCGAAGCCGCTAGGGACTTCCCCGGGCCAGTGAGGTACCGTCTGGTGGCAGCTTGTGGGTCCATGGGGGGCTGTGGCGGCTGCTTGGGGAACCGTTTCCCTGACCCTTGCCTTGGCAGGCCCTCCTCGCTCTCCAGGTGCCCCCCTATGCTCCCACCGGATAGAGGAGGTCTGGGTGCTTGATGCCCGTATGCTACCTTGCCCATGTGAGAGCGACCCTGCATGGGGCTCTGCTGCTGGTATGGGTGGAGTGGCTGCTGCTGTTGCGGAGGGCCTGAGTTTTGATGGTACATGGGCATGGAGGGTGAGTGGTTCTGGGATAGGGGGCTAGCTGCAAAGCCTGACGCCTGCACGGGAGATTGAGAGGCATGTGGGGGCGCGAGATGACCCATCTGCTGCTGCCCCTGACCCTGTCCCTGGTGCATCACCTGCTGCTGCATCTGCTGTTGAATGGGCTGATTCTGCATCTGCTGGAATTGCATGTGCTGCTGCTGCTGGTGAGGGTGCTGAAGCTGCTGTTGCTGCTGCTGCTGAGGTATAAACCCTCCAGGCCCAGCCATGCCTGGCTGTGCGAAGTTGGCATACTGCTGCTGCGCTCCCCCAACCATCTGTTGCTGGAATTGAGGTACCGCCTGCTGCTGTTGTGGGTGAGCCTGCATATGCCCAGGTGCATGAGCCTGCTGCTGATACACCTGCCCCATCCCCTGCTGGCCCATGCCTTGCTGCCCCATGCCCTGTTGCCCAATGCCCTGTTGCCCCATGCCTTGCTGCCCCATGCCCTGCTGCATCCCTCCCTGCGGGCCGATCCCCTGTGGCATCTGAGGGGCCATAGCATACGGCTGCTGACTAAACGACTCACCCATGCTCAAGCCGCCCATCTGCTGCACCAGCCCCTGCGCACCCTGCCCATAACCCTGCAACGCTGCATGCTGCTGCTGCTGCTGCTGCTGCAGCTGCATGAGCTGCGGCGAAGGCTGCCGCGCCTGCTGCGGCTGCACGGGACCCATGCCCTGCGGCTGTTGGAACTGCGGCTGTTGCTGGTAAGCCTGCAGCGGGGCTACACCTTGCAGCGGCTGCTGCAGCCACGTTTCCTCCGACACCACCTGCCCTTGCTGCTGCTGCGGCGGCGGCTGCAGCTGCGGCTGTGGCTGCACAGGCAGGGGTTGCTGATTTTGGGCTCCACCACGCGAAACAGCTACAGAAGGCGGACCGGGGAGAGGGCCGGAGGCGGAAAGAGGCATGAGCACGGGAACGCCGCCGGCGGGAGGGACGAAGACGGAGAACTTGGAGATCTTTAGGCACTTTCCGCAACGCAGCTTCTGAACTCCGTCTCTCGGCTCCAGTTTTGGTGGCACGGCGAGCATCTGGGAGCACCACTGGCACTGCGATGGAACGAAATCGGAATTCGGAAACATGCGGGGAAAACGATGTAGGCAACGCGAGGACAACGAAGCAAGGAAAAGGTAAGGATGCAAGGAATGGTTGCTGATTTCTCCGGCTGCCGCGTTCAATAACTTACACGCACAACAGGCCGGCCTGACTTTGACAGTAGCGGCTGCGGAACAGTAGCCCCTTCGCCTGGAACCGCCTGCGCCTGAGCCTGAATCGGCGGAAGCTGCTGCTGCTGCTGCTGTTGCGCCGGCTCGCGGAACTCCGGACCCTCTCCAGTCACAATAGCCCCGCCCGAGTTCCCCCCGTGCGAGGGGACGCCAGATGGGGAATCGACCTCCACATGCAGGTGCTTAGCCTTGTGCGCCGCTAGCACGCGCTGGGCCGCGAGGCTGGTGTTTGGATCCACGTGCATGGATCCCCGCTGGCCCTGAGCGGGTGTCTCGTGCACCCCGTGCTGCATGCCGTGCTGCTGAGCTCCTACTTGCATTCCTTGCTGAAAAGATTGAGCTTGGTTTTGCGGGATGTGATTTTGGTCTGAAGACTGTCGGCCGTCCCAGGCATCGGGTGGCGTCATGTGGGTGTTTGACAGACTTCCAGTTCGTGAAGGGAAGGCGGAGCTGGACTTAGGCATCGGTGATTGCTGTTGGGTGGATACGGAATGCACTCCCTGCGGGGTTGATAGTCTGTGTGGGTGTCCATCGGCGTGATAGCCATTACCAGACACATAAGGATCTTGCTGAGGTCGTATCTTCCTACCTGGTGGTTGGAGGCTAGCCATGTTGCAATAAGAAAAGGTCTACGTTAAGGGAAGGAGGAAAAGAGACATTAATCCCTAGATGTTACGGATCAAGGTGCGCGAGCTTCCGTGTTCCCATTTCGAATGAGTACGCGCTTATCGTTGACGAGCCTTTTTACAATCGTGTGGAAAGAATGAAACGCGTCGACGACCTAAAACAGACACGCGTGGCCTTTAGCTACCTAAGAACGTGTCATTACGGCGTACCACCCCGTCGCAAAACTAGTCAAATCGGGAATACGCCAGCAGCTTTCGCGGTGACATTGACGATGCACCACAACATTCTACTGCAGATCACTCCTTGAAAAGATAGAGTGCACTGGAAGTCAAAGAGATGAAAATGGTTAGGGAAGAGGAGAAAGGAGAACGGAGAATACACTGGAGGGAGTGCTGCTGCTGCTCTGCTGCTGGTGCTGCACTGCTCCTGTCAAATCTTCCTGATTATGCCGAGCCAGTGGGCGCTGTTCGGTTTGTCGCACACAAAAGCTTAGGCCAGGCCAAGGTCCTGCGAGGCTCGGCAGGACCCACAATTCCTGACAGAAGTAAACCGAGCCAAAATAAGTTGTGACTTGGCGCAGAAGCCTGGGAATTTCGAGGTTCATCATCAGCCAGGAGAACTCAACTCAAGGTCCGCTGTTCGTCAGCGAAACGGAATTCTGCCATAGGCCTGCGATAATTTGGTGAAAGCCGTTACAAATGCGAAGAAACGTCGACCGACAGTCGGGGGAATGGAAGGTGCCACAGCAACACCAACACACAACGCGAAATTCTGTACGAAGGCCTTCACTGTACTTGACAACGTTAGTAGTGTTTATTTCTTCTGCTTGACCTTGATCTCTGACCCAGCTTTCATAAATAAGCCATCCTTGTCATCCTCCAGCCTGCACACAGAGGAGAGGAGCAATTCATAAGCTCATTTTCTGCAACAAAAAAAAAAAAAAGTGTCACCCAACCAAAGCTGCAAACTTACAGGCTCCCAAGGTTAGCCGCCACTCGTCCAAACTCATTGACCAGAGTGCCATCCGCATCCAGCGTATACCTGCCTCCCAATGTCTCAGGGAAACCCTTCTCTGCCAGAACTTTGACATCCTTTCGATGCAGCTCTCGTCCATTCACCAGAATCTTGCTCTTGCCACCGGAGCAATCCATGGACACAGGGGCATTGCCTAGCTCGCGCATGAAAGCCTGACATCAAATGAGAGGAAAGAACTAGTGAGTGACACAGCAAGACAACAGATACAGATGCATATTGCATGAACGTAGACAAAGCATTGCTCACTGGAATGACGCCCAAGGACGCACTCCCAACAGGCCCCCAGAACCCAGCTCTGCAGTCATACCTGCAACCACAAAGGCAATATCAACAATGCACAACTGACGGGTGCTCAGATTGTCCCAGAAACATGGAACCACGAACCACATGGATAGGAAACAATGAAAGCCTAACATCGTGGCACAAAATAGCTAAATCAGCATATCCGCACCAATAATTCCCAGGCTCGATCTTCCCAATCCTCTGCTCTGCAACAAGAACCCTCTGGTCCGGCACAGGCACCCCATTCACAACCACCTTTCTCCGGTACTGTGCCTCCACACCCATACTCATCGTCCTGCTCCGTGGCATCAGCACCACTGCTCCCCCTCCCTCTACCCCTTTCGCTCCCTTCCTCTCTGTTGATGTTCGCCGCAGCGACATCTCCCCTCCCCCTCCACCAGCACCATCTCCTGCCGCCCCTCCTCCTGCCGCCCCTCCTCCTGCCGCCCCTCCTCCTGCTGTCCCTCCCTGTATCTGAGGAGCAGCACGGAAGGAAGGAACGGTGGCCAGCTTGCCGCCCGGACCCACGGTGACTCGTCTTGTTGCCAGCATGTCCCGTGCCTGCCGCTGGAACCGCTTCCCTGATGCGGTCCTCGGGACCAACTCCTGTCCATTCTCGTCTGCCACAGCTGCTGCTGCCATCACTCCTCCTGCTCCCTCTGCTCCTGCTGCTGCTGCTGCCGCTCCAGTACTAGGCATTCTGAGAGCAGGTGCAACACCACTGGTACTGGAGTCAGAACCACCACTGGACTTGCGGACGTGCTTGGCTGAAGGCTGAGCTTCGCCTGCTGCTCCCTGTGATGCTCTGCGAGGCAGGGATTGCTGAGCTGCCAGCCCCTGCTGCTGCTGCTGCTGCTGCTGCTGCTGAGCGTCCTGTTGACCGACAATGCCATGCTGACTGAAAGTCCCTTGCCCAACTCCTTGCCAATGCTGCTGCTTCTGCGGCTGCTGTTGCTGCCGCTGCTGCAAATCTTGTTGCGGCATCTGCATCTGCATATGTGGCCGAGCTTGCTGCTGTAAGCCTGACTGCTGCTGCAGCAGCGGTTGCACGGTGTCTTGCTGAGGTCTGACAGGCATAAGTTGAGGGTGCTGGTAGTAAGTCCCACCTGCATACCCCTGACCAGGCTCACCACCCTTGGCTAAACCCACACCAGATTCGCCTGTGAGGGAAGTAGAGACTTGGATGATCGTAGGTCTTTGCTGATACTGTGACTGAATTTGCTGCCCCTGCTGCTGATGCTGGTACTGCTGCAGTTGAAACTGCTGCTGCTGATTCTGCTGCTGAAACTGCTGCAGCTGCTGTGGCGGCTGCTGATACTGCTGCAGCTGCTGTGGCAGCTGCTGCGGTCGATACGGCAGCATGGGACTATGCAGCAATGTGTGCAGTTGCTGAGGACGAACACTGGATAGGGCCACGCCATTCAGCTGCTGCACCGCCCCATTCAAAGCAGAAGGGGGCACACTATTTACCCATTGCAGCTGCTGCTGTAGCTGCTGCTGCCCAATTGGACCCAAACCCCCACCTCCCTGAATATGACCAAACTGCTGCTGCTGCAATGGCTGCTGCTGCAATGGTTGCTGCTGCAACGGCTGCTGCTGCTGCAACGGCTGCTGCTGCTGTTGCTGCTGCTGTTGCTGCTGCTGCTGCCGCTGCTGGGAAAGCTGCTGGCCCATGGCGCCAGGGAAACCCCCTCCCTGTGGAAACCCTTGCTGCAGCATTGGCTGAATGTCTTGTGGTGCCATGCCATGGTAGGCTGGCGCACCCGTGAGCAAGGATGCTGCTGCAACGGCTGCACCTGCAATGGCTGCATTTGGAATTGCAGCACTTGAAGCAGGGAACCGCGGTCCTGCCATGCCACCTGCCTGTACCTGCATTGGCATCGGCACCTGCTGTGCCTGCTGCTGTAACTGCTGTTGCTGCAATTCCCACTGCTGCTGCTGTACCTGCAGGGTTCCCGGCTGCTGCTGCCACTGTTCGTCCTCATTGTCGTCCCCAGCGACCTCCCCTTCTATCAACGCCTGCTCGATCCCCTGGGAACCCTGCACGGTCATCTGCTGCTGTAGCTGATGCTCATACTGCTGTTGCTGCTGCTGCTGCTGCTGCTGTAGATGATGCTGCTGCTGCTCTGGAAACTGCACCTGGGACTGCACATCACCCTTTTCTTGTGCGCTCTCAACAGGAATAAGGAGGGGTAGGCCAGGCATGTCGGGCGGCGGCAGAGTGACAGCATACTTAGACACGCGCATGCACTTGCCGCACCGCAGTTTCTGCCTGCCCTTGTGTGACGGCTGCAGCTGCGCCGGCACTGCCAGCATCTGGGAGCACCACTGGCACTGCGTTTGAAAGACCGGAAAAGAGCAGAAAGAACGGAGGGAAACATTGGCAGTCTCACAGTAATAAGACGCCTTCTGCCAGAAGAGGAGTTATGGCTTCATACGACCAGACAGCAGCAGGCAGGTACGTGCAGCTGCAGGTGCAAGGGACAAACGAGCAGCGCCTACCCGAACGACCTGGAGATCCGGGGACGCGCAGACAGTAGGGCCGCGTATAGTGCAGCAGGACTTATAAGAATTCTCAAAAGCTACAGGGTCGAGGGGTAACCCAGCAGTCTTACCCGAACGACCTGTCGACCGGATTTGGAGATCAGGGGCGGGTGTACAGCCAGCAGGGACGCATACAACGCTGCAGGGCCCCCTTCCTCGCCACCCCTGCCCCAGCCGTTGCCTCCTAGGTGACCTCCACCGGAAAAGCCTCCACCTGAGAAGGCGACACCTTGGGACCCCCCATCACTTCCCCCAGCACCATTGCCTCCATTGGCGTGCTCTGCATAGCCCCCACCGCCCGCAATGCATTCCCCTCCTGCAGGCAACCCGGCCTGAGAACCACCAGCAGCAGCAGCAGCAGCCGTCACATCCCCCCCGGACTTCCTTCTCCTGTGCTGCTTCGCCTGCTTCGTCTTCTGCTGCATCTGCTGCTCCTGCGGCTGCTGCTCCTGTTGCGTCTGTTGCGCTTGTTGCTGCTGCTGCGCTTGGGAGTGTATCATACTCATACCTCCCACCGAGCTTCCGCTGCTACCCCTGCTGCCACTAGTGCTGCTGGCGCTATCCTCGCTCGGCTGTCGCCTCCGTTCTTTCGCACCCGTCGCACGCGCCCTCTGTGCGACCACGTTCACCTGATCACCCCCCTCCTCCGCAGCCAGCTCCCCCTGCGACGCCCGCCGTACCACCCCTTGCGCGAGTTCCGCCTCAGAGCCCACCGACCCTATCGTCACTGCTCCTGCGCGGGCTCTCCCCCTCCTAAGCGCAACCCCGCCCCTACCCGCTTCCGACTTGCTCCGCGGAAGCATAACCTCCGCAGGCGGTGCCTGAGTCGGGACCCTCTCTGTTTGAAAACCTCCTTCGCTTCTCCCCAACTCAGCATCGTATGATCCCCCTACGCTCTCCGCCAAAGCCCTCTGCTGCCTTGCGGTCCGGGATACCCCGTCCTTTAACGGCTTAGGCGCTTGCGGACCGGCAGTAACGGATCGCGAAAGAGGGAAGGGTACGGACGGCTGGTAACGAGGCTCGTCGATTACGTCACCATCTGCTAGAACCGTCCAATCGTCTTGCCACTGCTGGGTCTGCGTTGCCGGCGGCTGCTGCTGCTGTGTGTTGTAACCGTTCTGTAAGTAAACCCCCTGAAGTTGCGAGTATCCACCTGGCTGCAAGTAACCATCTGGCTGTGCTGCCTCGTAAGGCTGAAGCGACGCGGCGCTCTGGCTCTTCTTCCGCCCCTTTTTCCCACGTTTAATTGCGCCATTGCCGCCAGTTTGCACCGAGTCCTCTGCCTGCCCTTCCGCGGACGTACCAATGACAGGAAATTCCCCGCTATTGGGTCGAGAACGAGTCGTTTCCGTGCCCTGCTTCTCCAGATCACGCAACGGTACCTCGCTATGCGTGTGCCGTCCGCCTTCTTGAAACTGAACTTGTTGCTGCTGCTCTGCTTGATGCTGCTGTTGCGGCGGAAACGCGGGAGGCTGATGAATTGCGAACGCATCAGCGAGATCCACAGCTGATTCGCCACAGCTGGTAACTGGTAACTCAAAATTCGTAAGACTAGTACCGCTAGATGACTTTTTCTTTCCCTTACGCGGTTTTATCTGAACTCCTGCCTGAGTACTAGAGCCTGAATGTGATGAATCGCCCCAGCGGACCACCTTAAGCGGTGACTTGTCTCTGTTAGTGACCTCCATTGACTGATGCCTTAATGTTCACTGGTGTGGCCTTTGATCACCACAAATTAAGCTATCGTTGACTAACGAGGCTTCGAATAATCATTGAATGCTACCTCTAAGGTTGCATGTTCTAAGATCGCGTTAACGGACTAAGATATGGAGGATAAAGCCCAACGGTGAACCAGAACGATATGACTGATCGAAAATCATCAAAAGTTAAAGTGCGTTATTGGCTCATGAAAGCCAAGGCACCCCTGAGTTTCTTCACGATAGGAGAACGTCTGATGTATTGCGCTCGTGCACATGAGCAACAATCGCAGCCTGATTCATCCGCGCAAGTTGAGCAAGGCTCGGACGAAACAAGGCAATGGATACTCAAGTCATTCATCAGGCCGATTGTGGTCGTTAAAAGAACGGAGTATTGATAAAGCTTGTGAACTATGTGGTGGAGCAGAAAACTGGAGAATTGCACGAGTGGGCAAAATGGCGGTGACGAAAGGAAAGTGAGGGAGCTAGATGGATGAGATGCTGCGGCCTGCGGCTCTAGTGGTTCTTCCAGTGAGCTCTAGCTGGGCGGCACCCCCAAGGTCTCGCCCCGCCGCCGACAGCAGAATTACCATCTGCGCTCTACAATCGATCTCGTATCTCACGGAAGGGTGTGAAGAAGACCTCACTTGCGGTTCGGTGGGATGATCTGCGCAACGGTTGGGTAGGGTATGGCACTTAATGGAAGTGCATTTCCATGCCAAGGCCTCTAGATCCTCATGTTTGTACATCTACAATCTCTCACACTCCAGATATGTGTGAACCAGAGTGTCAAACAATCTCGGCTCCATAATTTTGTATGTTACCATTATGGCACCCCAGGGAGTGCAGCAGCCAGGGGGGCAGCCGCGGGCGACCGGAGCACCCCAGGGAGCGCAACAGCCAGGGGTTTGTCGAGGGACGACCAAGGGCAACAGTCGGAGGAGTGGAGCCGACTTTGGGAGTTTGATACCCCCATGGCGACTGCGGAGGAGTCAGAGGCGGACGGAGAATTTCCCAGGCCGCCTTCCTGTCAGAATCCCAACCACTAGACCATTCGGATAAAAGGGCTTGTTAAGTAGCGGGTCAGTGCGCCCATAACCCCCTAGGACAACGAGCCTATAACCCTTCCCCAGGATCAATCGGGGATCACCAATGGACCTCTGACACTTCCCCATGCCCCCGTTTTCCGTGTGACACGTGTTTCCACACGTTCACTACGCGAGGGGCTGCTGAGAACTACGTGAGGGTATGCCGGGCAGCTGAGATGGAGAGGCATGCGCAGGCTCTCGGCTCGATCCCTTCTCTGGTGGAGACCGACGCGCAAGAGCGACCGACGCCGCGGGAATTTGGGGACGAGGTGTGGGTCGATGTTACATCATGGGAATGGAAAGCTTTATTCAGCGGAGAGGCAGTGGGAGGGAGGACAGCGCGCCGGATCCCACAGCGGGCCCGGTCGGGGGTCTTAGACGCGCTCTGTTGCATTTTAATGCATCTAAAAAGCCGACCGGGGGATGAAGCCCCTACCCTCATACTCTTGGCGTTTTCGCGCCTCATCTTGGTCGTGCCTCCTAAGCCATGCATAGGCTAGAGGGTACTGATCATAGAGCGTATGGGGGCGTTATGGGAAGGGAGGTGGCGGGAGTTGTTCAATTCCGCCACTGTGGCGGCGCGGCCAGCAGTTCGCCCACTTGCCAACACTTGCTCTAACTAGGATCCCAATGTCATCTCCCTATCACGGTGCCGATCTCGGTGTAAAACGGGAGAATGGAGCCATGGGTTGGTGTCAGAATGTTATCTTATGCTCTAGCCTGTAGTGGGGTGCTCTATAGCGAGTACAACCCTTCTAGGGTTTGCTATTTGTATCCTCATTCTTGCTAGTTCAATCCTCTTTCTTTCTTCTAATTTTGTCATGCTATCAGAGCAGGTCGATCCCCTTGGATCGATCCTGTGGGTGGGTTACCACCTCGCTTCCGCTGCTACTTTTCCTTCCCGCCGTGCGCCCCGAGGCGCGCGGCGGTTTTCTGCCCGCCGTGCGCCCCGAGGCGCGCGGCGGTTCTCTGCCCGCTGTGCGCCCCGAGGCGCGCGGCGGGCGTCTGCCCCGTCGTTCGTCGCGTCGCCTTCTGGAGGCGCCGCGACGGGCGACGGGGACCCGTCGCGGCCGCCCGCCGCCCTACCTTCGCGGCCCACCCGCCGCCCTACCTTCGCGGCCACCCGCCGCCCTACCTTCGCGGCCCACCCGCCGCCCTACCTGCGGCCACCCGTCGCCCTACCTTCGCGGCCCACCCGCCGCCCTACCTGCGGCCCGCGAGACGCCCTACCTGCGGCCACTCGCCGCCCTACCTGCGGCCCACCAGCCGCCCTACCTGCGGCCCTACCGCCGCACTACATGCGGCCCGTCGCCCTACCCGTCGCGGCCCCGGCCCCGTCCCCGCCTTCCCCCCCCCCCTTTTCCCGTCGCCTGTCGAGGCGACCTGAGGGGCGAGCGGTGGGGTGTCGGGTATGGGGGTGGCCGGTGTGCCTTCCTCCCTTTGCTCCTCCTCCTCCTTCGTCTCCCACTGCTGCAGCTGTCGCTGAGGGGGGTGGTTGTGTGGGAGACTGGGGTTTAGGGTTTAAGGGGGGTGCGTGGGAGTGGAGCTAGCGGTGTAGCAGCGGGTGTGTATCAGGGGGGTGGGACTGTGTGCGGGAGGATGAGCGGAGGTTGCCAGTTTGTCGTCAGCAGCACCTGTAGTCCGGGGCGCTGTCCCGGTAGCCCAGTGAGCTAGACTTCTACGCCAGCCGCCCGTGGGTCCGTTGCCCGTCTGCCGCTACTTGAGCCGCGGGGCCTGTTACTCCTGTAGTCCGGGCGCTGTCCGGTAGCCGCTGTGCCAGTCTGCCTCCTGTTGCCCGTGTGTCTGCAGCTTCAGCCGTCGCCTCCTATCTCCTCTCCCCTCACTCTCTCTCCTCCTCCTCACTTGCCCGTTGTGACTACCACTAGCTTTGCTCATAATTATGAACTCTAAACTATTGCTTCTTAAACTTGTGCTCAGAATGTGTGGTGACATTGTGATCCACCCTGAGCTTGTACTGCTTTGCTTGCTCTGCTAATTACACCCCACTTTAGCTATGGGGGTGTGTCAGAATGTTATCTTATGCTCTAGCCTGTAGTGGGGTGCTCTATAGCGAGTACAACCCTTCTAGGGTTTGCTATTTGTATCCTCATTCTTGCTAGTTCAATCCTCTTTCTTTCTTCTAATTTTGTCAGTTGGCTTGCCTCACGGCAGTGAAGTTGGCCCAGCCATCTGAGGCCATGGTCTAGTCGCTGCGGCGTGCGACCTACGGCGCGCGGCGATTTTCTCTCTCGCGGCCCCGTTCCTTCTAGGCGCGCCACTCCCCGCTACCCCGTCGCGGCCCCATCTCGCCGCGCCACCCTAGCGGCCGCGTCGCGCCGCCCTCGCGGCCCCGATCCGCCGCCCTAGCGGCCCCGTCACCTACCCCTGCGGCCCCGGCGCCGCCCATCCCGGCCCCGGCTCCGCCCTTCCTGGCCCCGGCGCCACCTCGGCTGGCCCCGTCGCCTACCCCAGCGACCCCGACGCCGCCCTTCCCGACCCGGCCCCGCCTCTGCTGGCCCCGTCGCCTGCCCCTGCGGCCCCGGCTTTGCCCTTCCTGGCCCCGGTGCCACCTCGGCGGGCCCCGTCGCCTACCCCGGCGACCCCGACGCCACCCTTCCCGACCCGGCCCCGCCTCTGCTGGCCCCGTCGCCTACCCCTGCGGCCCCGGCGCTGCCCTTCCCGGCCCCGGCGCCACCTCTGCTGGCCCCGACGCCGCCCTTACCGGCCCCGGCGCCGCCTCTACTGGCCCCGTCGCCTACCTCTGCGGCCCCGGCGCCGCCCTTCCCGGCCCCAGCGCCGCCTTTGCTGGCCCCGTCACCTACCCTGCAGCCCCGGCGCCACCTCTGCTGGCCCCGTCGCCGCTCCACCCGGCCCCGCCGCCGTCCCCAAGCGGCCCCGCCGTCACCACCGAGCCGCCGGCGCCGCCGAGCTGCTACCGAGCCGCCCGAGCCGCAGCGCCACCAGACCCGCCTGAGCCGCCGAGTCGCCGAGCCGCAGTTGCCGCCGAGCCGCCCGAGT